ATGCTCCAACTGAGAGAGCTACATCTTGCAGGCAACAGGAAGTCAACTGACTGACTAGGAGTATCCTGAGCATAGGAAACCTGAAAGCCTGCCCCCACAATGACACACTTCTTGTAACAAAGCCACACCCACTCCAACAAAGTCACACCTCCTAATAGTGCCACTCCCTATGAGATTATGGGAGTCAATTACATTCAAAAGACCATACCTAGTGAAGCTGAGCATATATGTTTATTGGTCATGTTTATTTTCATCTTTTTAAAAAGATTTATTTATTTATTTATTATGTACATACTGTTTTGCCGGCATTTATGCCTGCTTGCCGGAAGAGGGCACCAGATCTCATTATAGACAGGTTATGTGCAATATGTGGTTGCTGGGAGCTGGAAGAGCAGTCAGTGCTCTTAACCTCTTCGGATCTCTCCAGTCCCCAGTATTTCATCTTTTGAGAACTCTCTATTCATTAAATTAGTCCATTTATTTACTAGGCTGTTTGATTCTCTTTCATTTATTTATTAGTTTTTTGAGACAGGGTTTCTCTGTATTGTTTTGGAGGCTGTCCTGGAACTCGCTCTGTAGACCAGGCTGGCCTTGAACTCAGAGATCTGCCTGCCTCTGCCTCCCTAGTTTTGGTAGTAAAGGAGTGTGCTACCACCCCAGTGGCAGCTATTTGATTCTTGTGGGTTTTCTTATTTGGTTTGGTTTGGTTTTCATTTTAAAAGCACATTTAACAGGGCAGTGGTGGCACAGGGCTTTAATCCCAGCACTTGGGAGGCAAGACAGGCAGATCTGAGTTAGAGGCCAGCCTGGTCTACCAAGTGAGTTCAAGCACAGCTTGGACTACATGGAGAAACCCTGTCTCAAAAAACCAAATCAAGGGGGTTGGGGAGGTGGCTCAGAGGTTAAGAGCACTGGCTGCTCTTACTAAGGTCCTGAGTTCAATTCCCAGCAACCATACTGTGGCTCATTACCATCTATAGTGAGATCTGATGCCCTCGTCTGGCCTACAGGCAGAACACTATACTAAGTAAATTTTAAAAAAGAAAACCAAATCAAGAAAAAAATATGTTGTCTTTCCTCTAATGTCTATTTTTGGTATCTTTCTTTCCTCTCCAGTAAAAATACTGCTGAGATTTACTCTCAGACAGGACAAGCTGCAAAGAAGACTCAGAAAGCCAACCTCCAAAGAAGGGTCTAAGACCAGACCAGCTGCCTTGAAGAAACAGAAACCAGCCAAGCTGCCTTGAAGAAACAGAAACCAGCCATGCTGCCTTGAAGAAACAGAAACCAGCCATGCTGTCTGGAAGAAACAGAAACCAGCCATTCTGCCTGGAAGAGTTTTAAGGCCAGAGTTACTTGGAAAGGGCACTGAACTGCCTCAGGCCGTGCAATGTACTCCAGGTTTCTCAGCTTTTGAGAGCTGTTGCCCATGCTGGGGTGGGCCTTGATGATGCAGCTGTTTTTTGTTTGTTTGTTTGTTTGTCATTTCTGTCTATAAGTAACTCCTCACCAATATTCCTGTAAGTAACCCCGCTAAGGCTCATTGGTTCACCAAGTCAGACTTTGGTGGTATCAGTACTTTGGTCTGCCATGGGTTCTCTCTCTGGCTGGAGTATGTGTGTGAATAGCATCTCCTCAGGAAAAAAGTTTTGTCATACATTAGTTCCCCAAGAACTGGAGCTGCAGACAGTTGTGAGCTGACATGTGGGTGTTAGTAATTGAACTCAGGTTCTCACAAGTCTTGGATGAGATCTTCTAATTCATGCAGACATCTTGATCTGACCAGTGTAGGTAGGATCTGTTTATTCCTTAGTTTGTGGTTCTGGTCAGTAAGATTTTCCAGTAATTTAAGGATGACTAAGTCTCTTTAGTTGGCAAAATTATTCTAAGCAGCATCATTCTAGAATTTTTCTGGAGTACTAGTGTTTAAAGTCACTGGCATGGGTCTTTTCTGTGAGATTACGGGCCATTTACCTTGGAAATCTCCTCCTTAATATGAAAAACATCAGAACACTATCAGACTAGAAGACAATAGAATTTTCTTTTTTCAATTTTGTTTTTAGATTTACTTACTTTACTCGAATGAGTGTTTTGCTTGCATGCATGTTATGTGTGCCTGGTGCCATACCCTGAAATTACAAATTGTTGTGATGCTGGGAACCAAACTCAGATTCTCTGCAAGAACAACAAATGTTCTTATCCACTGATCCATCTCTCTAGTTCTAGAATTTTCTTGAAGTTAAAAATAAAATGGTGTGAAGCTGAGTGGTAGTGGTGCACACCTTTAATCCCAGTACTCCAGAGGCAGAGGCAGGCGGATCTCTGAGTCAGTCTCCTATGATGAAGAATTAAAGTAGAGCCAGGAGTGGTGGCGCATGCCTTTGATCCTGTACTTGGGAGCCAGACGGAGGCAGATCTCTGTGAGTTTGAGACCAACTTTGTCTATATAATGAGTTACAGGACAGCCGGAACTACATAGTGAGGCCCTGTTTTGGGAGGAAAAAAGTGAGGAATGGGGCTGGAGAGATAGCTCCGTAGTTAAGAACATGCATTACTCTTCCAGAAGGACCAAGTTCAAATCCTGGCACCCACGTCTGGTGGTTCACAACTGCCTATAACTCCAGTTCTGACCCGTTTTGTCCTGACTAAAAATAAATTAAATATTAAAAAAATAGAGGGTTACCTCAAAAAAAAAAAAAGATACCATACAGTAGAGGAAAACCCTGATACACGCCTCTGTCATCAGCGTGCACATGTGTCTGCACACACATATGCACACACATATATGCACATACCTACACTACACACACACTGAAGGAAAAAACTGGAGCCCAAACGGTCTTCCTGCTGTTTGGTGTGTCCTGCAGTGTCCCTCCAGTGCCCTCTGCCGATAACATTTCCTGGTGGTGGGGGGTGGGGGTGGATCCTAATTCCTGAGCTAGGCTCATAAATCACGGCAAAAGGATAGGTTTACAACAATAATATTAAAGTAATTATTTACACAGAAATTCAAAATTATCAAAAGATATCCGTGGTTTTATTTTTTCTCCTAAATTGTTTAGCATTCCCACCATGTTTTTTTTCAATTGTTTATTTTCATGTTATGTACATTGGTGCGTTTGCTTGCATGTATTTCTGTGTGAGAGTCAGAAGTCCTGGGACTGGAGTTACAGACATTCGTGAGCTACCATGAGGTGCTGGGAATTCAGAGCAGCTGATGCTCTTAATTGCTGAGCCATGTTTTCGGGCACCCCACCCCCACCAGTTTTAAGTTAATTAAATGTTAGAAAGACCTAATCAAGTCTGGCTGAACTTGTGGCTATCCTAGTAAATTCAAAGAAAGTTTCAGTTTGTAAGAAATAATGACCTAATGTGATTATTTCAACTTTGGTTCTTAAATTTGGGACAGATAATTGCAAGGAGTTGTCTGTAGGCTGTTTCACTCAAAGGCAAGAGATATTTTTATATAAAAGAGTCTGAGATGTGTCCCAGAAAGAATATGGGCTTAGCATGTATGAAATCCTTGGCTTAATCTCCAGTTCTCAAACAAACATTAATAATCATAAATAGTAAATATCAAACATAACAATTACTGGTAACAAATATTAGTTTCTCAAGTCTTTAAAAAAAAAACTTAGCTGGGCATTGGTGGCACACGCCTTTAATCCCAGCACTCGGGAGGCAGAGGCAGTCGGATCTCTGTGAGTTCGAGACCTGCCTGGTCTACCGAGCAAGTTCCAGGACAGGCTCCAAAACAATATAGAGAAACCCTGCCTGGAAAAAAACCAAAAAGAAAATAATAATAATAACAACTTGCCAAATGATTAAAAGTATGTCAAAAGTCTAGAGAAAATGACTCATTTGATTACAAGAAGAAAAATACAAATTCTTTTTAAAATAGCAAATTAGTGACTTAGCAGTTAGGAGCACTGGCTATTGTTTCAGAGGACCTGAGTTTAATTCCCGGCACCCACATGGCAGCTCACAACCATTTCTAACTCCAGACCTAGGGAACTGATGCCTTCTCCATGGGCAGGCATTGCATGAACATGGAACATAGTGCATAGGCATACATGTAGGGAAAACACTCATTCAGATTAAATGAAAAAAAGGAAAAAATAAATAGTAAATTATATATAAGCCCTGAAATTTTGTTCTTACATTTTTTAAATTTACACACCTCTATATATGCATTGAGGTAGCCATAAATATGAAAATATGTCAACATATGAATAAACTAAGGCTTTATAATATATTTAACTTTACTACTTTCTTAAATTGGCCTGAATATGTGTGTATGTATATAGATAAACATATACAACATTATTTAACTTAGTATCTTTACAAACTTCAACAATAATCTTACAATGCAAACAGATATACCATATTTATTTAATTGTATCATTCTATTTCTTTTGGGGGGATAGTTTCAAGACAGAGTTTCTTTGGTCCTGGCTGTCCTGGAACTCACTCTGTAGACCAGGCTGGCCTATGAACTCACAGAGATTCGCCTGCCTCTGCCTCCCGAGTGCTGGAATTAAAGGCTTGCGCCACCACTGCCTGGTATATATAAAATCTTTAAAAATGATTTTTTTATTTCATATGCATTGGTGTTTTGCCTGCATTTATGTCTGTATAAGGGTGTCAGATTCCTCAGAACTAGAGCTACAGACAACTATGAGCTACCAGGTAGGTGCTGGGAATTGAATCAAGGTCCTCGGGAAGATCAGCTGGTACTCTTAACCAACGAACCATCTCTCTAGTTCCCCTAAAGTTTTTTTAAGGTATATTCCCCCCCCCCTTTTTTTTTTAATTTATTTATTACACATACAGTGTTCTGCCAGAAGAGGGCACCAGATTGAATTGTAGATGGTTGTGAGCCACCATGTGGTTGCTGGGAATTGAACTCAGGACCTCCCGAAGAGCAGCCAGTGCTCTTAACCACTGAGCCATCTCTCCAGCCCCCCCTAAAGTATTTTTAAAGAGAATTTTTTTCTCACCGTTGCCTCTAAATTGACCATTGTTTCTGAGCCCCTCAGTAGTCTTCAGTCTTCTGGTAGTACTAGCGACAACCAAAAGTTCACTGTTGTCTTCTAGTGGCAATGTGATTTCTCAACAATTTCCTACAAAAGACTAGAAGGGGTTAATACATTTCCTAAGCCTAGCTTCCTTTCATAAACTGGTGCATAGTTTCATTGTTACTTTGAACTGTTATTTTCTCTAACAGTAGTCTTAGTTACTTTTCTGTTGTTGTTATAAGACACCATGACCCAGGCAACTTATAAAAGAAAGCATTTCATTTGGGCTTATGGTTCCAGAGGGTTGGGGTCCATGATGGCAGAATGAAGGCATGGTGACAGGAACAGCTGAGAGCTCACATCCTGAACCACGAGCAGGAGGCAGAGAGGGTGAGACACACTGAGACACACTTTTGAAACCTCAAGGCCCACCCCCGGTGACACACCCTCTCCAACAAGCCCACATCCAATACTTTCCAAGCAGTCCCAGCAACTGGGGAGCAAATGTTCAAATCAGGAGCCGATGGGAGGGGGCCGTTTGCATTCAAACCACCACAAAAGCTGTACACCAAAATGTGACTTTTTTTTGTGCCAGGCAGTGGTAGTGTCTGCCTTTAACCGTAGCACTTGGGAGGCAAAGGCAGGAGACTCTCTGTGAGTTTGAGGCCACCTTGGTCTACAGAGTTCCAGGACAGGCTCCAAATCTACAGAGATACGCAGTCTCAGAAAGTGACGCTTCCCCAAGGTTGGAAACAGACTTGGTGGAAAGGGGTCCACAGCGGGCTTTCCTGACTCCCTCATGGTGGAGGACTGCCCGCTGTGAAGCAGCACTGCTTCGTTTTCCTTTGGGAAGTCCTGCCTTCTGGGCATCAGAAAAGGTCTCTCATGGGAGACATTCTTCCTCCCCGAAGAACGGTTCTGTGCATCTGAGCTGCAAGCTGAAAGTCTGCGGCGAGCTTTGGGAGAGGAAACCTTACAGAGACAGACCACTATAGTGTGCATAAGGTCCTGGGTTCAATCCCCGGACACTGCAACAAGTAAATTATCACTGCTCATAATGTACATAAACATCATTACTATGCAACATCTATCTTATTCCTTCTTCTATCATTGACCTCACTCTCAGTGTGTGTGTGTGTGTGTGTGTGTGTGTGTGTGTGTGTGTGTGTGTGTGTGTGTGTGTGTGTGTGTGTACTCAAGCATATGTATCCGAGGCCAACATCAGCATTCATTTCTCGGGAGTCTTCCACCTTGGTTTTCCGAGGTGAGGTCTCTGTGGCTTGCCAACTAGATGAGTCCAGGATTCTGACACTGCTTCCCCAGGGCTGAGATTGCAAGCATGTGCCACCCCCCACACCTGCATGGCAGACATTGCACTCAGATCCTCACGTTTGTATGGCGAGCACTTTATTGACTTCCAAGTCTCCTCTTTAACCTTTATTTTTTTCTTTTTCTTTTTGCTGTCAATTTGTGCTTTCTATAGGACTTCAGAGAATAATAATAAATAGGTTAAATAATTAACAACATAGTAAAGGATACTACTACTTTACCAAGATAGGATTTGCTAGAGGAGCATTGTATCATAATTATTCTTTTTTTGTTTGTTTGTTTATGAGGCTATCTATCTCTCTTTATAGTCCTGGCTGTCTTGGAACTCTCTGTGTAAACTAGGTTGTTCTCAAACTTACAAAGATCCACTTATCTCTGCCTCCCAAGTGCTAAGAATAAAGGCATGTACACCACACCTGGCTATAATTATTCTTTGTAAGGTTAGAAATTAAGTTCTCAGGCATGGTAAGTTTTCTAAATTTTCCTAGTAATAGTGATGACTCATGCTTCCAGTTATATAAATGTGACATTTTTAGATTCATTAATATCCATTAATCTTTACATAAATGTAAATTAAAAGAAAAATTATAAAAATTATATATAATTTTTGTCTATCAAATTGTAATGTTTAATGCTATGAAACATAGTACTGCCTAAAGTACCAGGAAATAGACACTCTTGTATGATTCCATGCTGGTACATTCTTCCTAGGACACAATCTGGTATGGATAAATAATTACAATATGCCATCAAATACTTCTCAAAATCGCATCACAGAAATGGTTGATGAAGTAAATTCAAGTGTCTTACATTTGTTGCAATCACAAAGTCTATCAACTTCAGTGTCTCTAAATGGAGTTAGAGTCACGGATCCTAAGGCGACTTGAGCTAAATGATACTAGGGAAGGCCCTAAAAGTCAGAGAATACCTGGGACTGGGTGCATGGTAGGAAATAACAGCAGTGGATTTGTGACCACAGTAAGGCAGTGTCCTAGAGGGTAAGTTTCCTCCATATCTCTTGATCTTTGAGACATGCTCTTGACTCATAGGCAAGGCTGGACTGGAATTCATTTTGTAGCTTAGGCTGACTGTCAACTTGCCATCTTTCTGCTGCAAGCTCTCGATGGCTGGGACAATAGGCCCATGACACCATGCTTTGTTCTTTCATTTCTTTTTATTTGAGTACCATCAGGCCACCTATCCATTCATCCAGTGAAGGGTATCTTACTGGCTTCCAAGTTTTAGCAATTATGAAGGAAGCTTCTAGGAACATTTGTGTTCTGGAGTCTGTGTGGATATCTTTTTCAAAGCATATGATTGTTGGATTACATAATAAGGGTATGTTTCATCTTACAAAACAAAATAAAGGTGAGTAAACTGTCTTTCAAAGTGGCTGTACCATCCTGTTTCCTATCAGGAATGACAATTTTTTTCTTCCTTCCTTCCTTCCTTCCTTCCTTCCTTCCTTCCTTCCTTCCTTTCTCTTTTATTTTGGAGACAGGGTCTTTACTGTGTAGCCTTAGCTGTCTTGGAACATGATATGTATACCAGGCTGACCTCGACCTCATAGAGATTTACCTGCCTCTGCCTCCCACTACTGGGGTTGGTAGTGTTTCCGGATTTTTGTCATCCTGATAGGTGTGTAGTGATTTTTTTTTCTCATCTAATATCTCCTTAGGTGAGGTCCCACTAAAACCTTTGTTATAAAAATATTTTTATATTTTAATCACAATTTTATATGTTTACACCACACGTCTGTGGAGGCCAGAAGGGTGTCATATTCTTTGGATGTGGAGTTACAAATGTTTGTGAGCATCAGTTGAATGCTAGGAACTGAATCCCAGGTCCTCTGCAAGAGCAGCATATGATCTTATCCACTAAACACTATTTCTAGCCCACTTTGTTTCATTTTAAAATATTTTTTTATTTTTTTTGGTTTTTCGAGACAGGGTTTCTCTGTATTGTTTTGGAGGCTGGCCTCGAACTCACTGTGTAGGCCAGGCTGGCCTCGAACTCACAGAGATCCTCCTGCCTCTGCCTCCTGAGTGCTGGGATTAAAGGCGTGTGCTACCAACACCCAGTCCTTATTATTGAGTTTTAACATTTCTTTGTGGGGCTGGAGAGATGGCTCACAGGTTAAGAGCACTGGCAGTTCTTCCAAAGGACTGGGGTCCGCATGGCAGCTCACAACTGTCTATAACTCTGGTTCCAGGCCATCTTGCACCCTCACACAGACTTACATGTAGGGAAAACACCAATGCACATAAAATTAAAAATAAATAAATTATATAGAAAAAGATTTCGCTGGGTGGTGTGTCTCATGCCTTTAATCCCAGCACTCAAGAGGCAGAGGCGGGGGATCTCTGTGAATTCAGGCCAGCCTAGTCTACATAGCTAGCTCCAGGAAGGCCAGGGTTACACAGAGAAACCCTGTCTTGGGAAAAAAAAAAAGATTTCTTTGTATATTTGGGCAAATTTGGTTTTCTGTAATTATCCCCATTTTAAAAATCACTAGCTATTATCAAAATAAATGGTAAAGATATTTGCATTGTTAGTGGTTATCAGTTGACATGATAAAACACAGGACCGAAGGAAACTCATGGAAGGAGCAGTTTGGCAGACACTTCCAGCGGGATGGGAGTCCATTGTGGGTTGGGGCACATGGTGGTAACAAGTGGTAGGCATGGTGGGAGGAGCCAGAAGCTGAGAGTTCAAGTCCTTACCTACAAGCTCAAAGCAGAGAGCAAGCTGCAAGTAAGACGAGGTTTTAGGGACTCAAAGTACTCACAGTGGGGTACTTCCTTCAAGGCCTCACCTCCTAAGACTCCCAGACAGTGGGAACCAGGTGTTCAAATGCGGAAGCCTGTAGGGGACATTTCTCATTTAAGCCGCCTGAAAACTGGAACAGGCTGGGCTTGGTGACACAGCCTTTAATCCAGTACTCGGGAGGCAGAGGCAAGTGGTTCTCTGTGAGTTCAAGGTCAGCCTGGTCTACAAAATGAGTTCCAGGATAGCCAAGGCTATGTAGAGAGATCTTGTCTCAAAAAAAAAAAAAAAAAAAAAAAAAAAAAGCCGGGCGTTGGCGCACGCCTTTAATCCCAGCACTCGGGAGGGGCAGAGGCAGGCGGATCTCTGTGAGTTCGAGGCCAGCCTGGACTACCGAGCGAGTTCCAGGACAGCCTCCAAAACAATACAGAGAAACCCTGTCTCGAAAAACCAAAAAAAAAAAAAAAAAAAAAAAAAAAAAAAAGGGAATAAATGTGAAGCTTCTTAGCATAGAACTTTAAGGCACACACAGTGTATGCTTTATAATGCTATCTGCATTTAAAGCTTTTGTATTAAACTGCATATGTCAAGACTTCTTATGAGCCTGTTCATACATCTTATCACAGTTGAGCACAGCTGTTTGTTTCCATTGCCAGCAAGAATGAGAAAGACTTGTTGTATCCAGGAGGAAGCAGTGCTAGGAAGGCAGCAGGAAGCTGATGAGTGTCTTTTGACTGACGCAGGAGAAGTCTTGACTTTTATCCTGTAAGCCATGTGTAAGCAACCAGAATTAATCAAGATAACAACATAGTTGGAGCTATGCTTCAGAAAGAAGGTTCTGTTACAGCACATGGAAAGGACAAAGGACCAGAGCCACCTAGAGCAACAATTATGCCAAGGCTTTTCAGTTCTATGACTTGACACCAAACACTGTAATTATGAAGCACCTGGTGCTTGAGCCTTCTGGGGGAGGTGGGGGCGTGTTTCTAGGGGAGGTGAATGAGCTGGAGCTTAGCCCTGAGGCTCACACATGTAACACTCCCCAGTGCCACAAAACCACTCGTGTGCTTCTAGGCCTCCTTTTGATTTTTTTTTTATAGTTTTGATCCTTCCCTCTCGTAGCTGTCAATTTAAAGCTGCCCTACATGTGAATTGCTAAGTGCACAGGAGAAGGGAATGAATGACTATTACATGTGTAGGTAGGACGAAACAGTGACCAGACACAATCGTTCGGGAGCAGGCATAGAAAGAAAACAGAAGCCGGCGGTGGTGGCGCACGCCTTTAGTCCCAGTACTTGGGAGGCAGAGGCAGGTGGATCTCTGTGAGTTAGACCAGCCTGATCTACAAGAGCTAGTTCCAGGACAGCCTCCAAAGCCACAGAGAAACCCTGTCTCGAAAACAAAACAAAACAAAACAAAAAAGAAGAAGAAGAAGAAGATGAAGAAGAAGAAGAGAGAAGGCAGAATTCTTGGGTGTAGGAATTGAGATCTTGAAGGCAAGGGGAAAAAAAGATATTACCTGAGATATTAAGCTTTATGAACAGGCAGAAGAATTGTGTTTGGACAACTCACAATAGACCAAGAAAGATAAACTTTAGCTATTTAGATGTCAATACTGCTAGCCAAGACCAGCATTGTGGCACAAATTGGTAATTGCAGCAGTTGGAAGACTGAGGCAGAGTGGTCCTCAGGACATCGTGGGCTGTGTGCAGTGAGACCCTGCCTCCAAAGGAAAGGAAACAAATCTAAGAACCACCACCATCAGCAAATACTACCAGACAGTAAAGCAGAACTGTTGAATTAGAATTAAAAATTCAAACTCAGATATAAATAATCAAATTTCAGTACCTTAGGGTTCACTTCTGCAGGCCTGAATACCCTTATCTGGTACCAAGTGAAAGCTGAGGGCTGACTTTACTAGCAGTAAAACGGCGAGAGTTGAGAGGTGAGTATAGCCTCATATAAACTGGAGAGAAATCTGAGAAAGCTTAGCAAAGCCAAGGGGTCTGGGATTTGGTAATGAGGTCATTACTGAGGTGGTAAGCTGCTCTGAGGGAGTGCTGGAGTGACTCTAATTGTCTCTCAAAAGGACTGGTAGAAAGAGAAGGGGTGAAGTGACAAGAGCAGACAACAGTGGAGAGCATCTCATTGGATATAGCCTTTAACCAGAGACAACAGGAAACCGACCCGTAACCACCAGAGAGAAACAGACACCCTCTAAGGATTCTGAGGTGATCAGATTTATTATGTAATTACTATAATTTTCATTAGCTTTGTTGCTAAACGACCTGAGAGGCTCTCTGTGATCCAAACTGAGGATATTTCTCTAGCAGATCTTTTATTCCTTCTCCCCTGCACACAAAGCGTCTACCTTTTCAAAAGCCTCCTGCTTTTTTTCTGTTCCAATTTGCTGTTACTTTGGTGAACCTTTTACCTTCTTACACTAGACTTTAAATTCTCCATAAATTACTTCCCCGTGCTCCAGGTTGATTTTAACAGTTCCTTTCTCTGATCTCCATTGCACTTGTACTTTATATCATGTATTGCTATCACCTAGCTCCGTGTTGGGTACATGCACTCTATTCTATAAATGCTAAAAACCAAGTAAATTAAGTTTGAAAGGCTTTGTGTCACCCCACTTTCTTTAAAGTGTACAGTGTAATACATCTAACATTTATTTTGCAATGTAATACTCCCGTCTGTGATGTTACTGAGACTTGGCGAACTGACGATAAGTGGCCGGCGTTTTGAAACCCTAATGTTCCGGAGGATGAGGCCAGGGATCCAAAACTTGGGGCCTGACTGGGCTACATTGGGAATTCAAAGAATTTAACTTTCTCAGTTTATCATAATAAACCAAGCTAAGAAAGCAAAGCAGAAAAAAAAATCATCCCTTAACAAAACCTCTAATATTATTTATCATAATTCTCCATTTGATTCCTAAGTAGAGAGGACTACTGCTGTGTTTCTTTCAGCTTTTTTTTTTTAAGCAGTTATCTTTCTGGCTAAATTATTAAGAAGCAAGGAAGACTTTCTAAAAACTAAATGACTGACCTCAAGCCAATTAACGTTTCTCAGCAGCTCAAGCATCAGTTTTAATATATTTGCTTTTGGGATTGTTGGCTTTTCAGACCGAGAGCAGGGAAGGAGGACCACACCACCTGGTTCAGGCTGATTCCCACCAACACGGGACAAGTTTAACATAAAAGGCTCGTTTAGTATGAACACTTGTGGAAGAAGGTAGTGGTGGTGAGGATAAAAACCTTTCATCAAAATCCCGCCAATTTGCATTGTTCTTTGGGGACTAGGCTTTCAAAAGCCACGGAACAAAAGAGGATTTGCTTTTCCAATCCCCTGAAGCGGCTACTGGGAGAACCAAAGCTCTTTATAAATTGTGGGAGAGGAGGGGGAGGGGCTGGCATCTAGCAGAGATGGAGCACACGCCAAGGCTCCAAGGCCTTATTTGCCAGTGAATCCGGTTCTGCAATATTTATAATCAAAGGCGCTCAACAGCATCAGAGCACCGACCTACATTCTTCCCATCCAAGCCGAGACACAAAGGGGATGGGAGAAAAAGACAGGCTTTGCGCAAGCGGAGGGCGCTGCAGAGAGCCCGCCACCTGTGCCGAAGCCTGGGCAGACTCTCCCCGGGGACCCTGGCATCCGCCGCGGCCCAGGGAGGTTCCCAGGCCCTGAAAGCCAGCTCGGAAGTCAGCTTGCAGGGCAGGAACGGGTTGTTAACCTTTGGGAGGCAGGGAAAAGGGACTAGAGACTGGAAATTTGCACTTTAGTCGGTTCCGGGAGCTCTGAAAAGGAGCAGGCACAGACAACCGGGAAACGGAGCGCGCACAGGGCGAAACGCGCACCCGAGGCGCTCGTGTGGCTTGCGCACGCGCACCCCGCCCCCGACGCATGCGCAGGCCTGTCCGCCTAGCGCGGGAGCGCGCGCCCGGTTTCGCGGGCCGGCCCCTCCAGCGCGGGCCCGCGCGCGCGTTCTCTCGAGTGCGTAACCTGGAGCGGCGGCTCGGGCGGCGGGACGCAGGGGACGCGGAGACGAGGGGCGGGCCTGCCGGGGCGGGGCCAGGGAGGAGGCGGAGAAAGTCGCGGCCGCCCGGAGCCCCGTCGCGTGTTCCCAGCCCCCGGAAGTGGCGGTTGTAAAACTTCACCTCGCAGACTTTCTCCACCCCGGTCCTAGAGTCCATCGGCTTTCCTCAGTTGTCACTCCTTCTCCTGAGGGCTGCCTGGCCTTCCGCCCTAGACCTGAAGCTGCCCGGGGGGTCGTGGGTGTGCAGGCTGGACCACGCGAGCCCGAGGTAACCGCGGGCTGTGGGTGCACGGGGACGACCGCCCGGGGCCGGGAGGTGCCGAGAGGAGGCTGGGCTTGCAGTGAGGACCAGGTTCGGGGCTGCTCGCCTGTGCGGACACGCCTCCAGCTCATCGCCCGGGCTCTCCGCCCGTCTGCAGGTAGACGAGATGAGCATCCTCCGCGCTGCCTGGAGGATCGATGGGGACCAGAGTCCTCCGAGCTCCTTGGGAACTGTACCCAAGGGTCACAACTTTTTTTTCTCCCTTTCATTTAAATGCTAGCCACACGTTAGGCATCTTACAAACGTTTGGTGAGCAAAACAATGAGTTGTGTCAGATGGCTCTCTGCAACTTCTGCCTGCCCACCAGGACTCCCACAGAAAAGGCAGCTGTGAGTTTTTAAAGCTGAAATTTGTGTAGAAGTGCCCTTTTTGAATGCTTAATCCTTTAAGATATTCATCTCGGGCAAATACATAACTCTTCAGAGTCGCTATCAAGCACTAAGGCTTTACACATCGATGTTTTCCACTTCTCGTAATATTGGAGAAAAGAAGTTACCGTTTTGTTACTTGCATTTAACAGTGCTTACTTAGTAACGACCCAACAGTGGAAGGGCCGGAAATGAACATGTTTTCCTGTGAAAGGCAGAGGGGTGAAGCCGGTGCAACCTGATCCTAGGAAAAGTGAAGCCAGTTATTGTAGGCTGGAGCTTTTTGTGGTTGAGACTGAACAGGAATCATAGGCATGAAATGCTCTGCTGCCGAGCTGCACTCCAGCTCATAAATTCCTCTTACCAAGTGAAAAGTAACTGCTGCCGCTCCCAACGCAGGTGTTGTGACTATGGACACAGACCTGCAAAAGCCAAAAAACAAACAAACAAACAAACCGGACTTAGTATTAGGGAATATCTACTCCCAACTTGAAAAAGTCTGAATGATTTGAGAACAAATTGTTGGGTCAAGGAAAAAAATTTTTTTGGTAAGACACCCAAACTAGGAAGATAGTGGAATATGAGCACAGGCTATAAATTCCTTTTATATTTAAGCAAGCGTGAGAAGGATGGAGGGGCTGGCTTAAATACTTAATGAAACCTAGTGGTTGTTGAGTTAGTGTTCACCGGTTTGAAGATGGAGGAAGGAGAAGTTACGCTCAAGGAGGCATAGGCTTTTCTAGACAAACAAATACAACTTGGAGACTGTGAGCCTACCTAACTTGTGTAGTGTCATTAGAAGCCGTCTGGATGGGAGTATGCGTTTTAATTCTTCTAGCGAATATCTTTGTACAAATCTCTCGACCCCTGGGAAACTCGGTTTCCTCATCCGTGAGATGTGCAGGTAGTCTCGAGATGGTCGAGAGATGAGACCAAGTATGCTTAGCTGTGTATGTGCACATAGAAAGTGTTCGATGCTGGGGTCTGACTCTGCCCAGCCACTCTTTCATCTGTGCAGACTGGTTTAGAGGTGAGTACGTTGTGGAGGAGGAACAAGGAAGGATTTAGATGTTGATAGGAAAACTTGTGCCAGAAATGGTCCTTAACATCCAAAGTAGGGTCTTCTTCCTTCTAGGATGGCCACATAATTGATCCCTTGGACTATTTTTAAAATGAATTTTATTTTATTTTATTTATTTATTTATTTATTTATTTTTGGTTTTTCGAGACAGGGTTTCTCTGTATTTTTTGAGGGCCTGTCCTGTATCTCGATGGGTAGACCAGGCTGATCTTGAACTGACAGAGATCCACCTGCCTCTGCCTCCCGAGTGCTGGGATTAAAAACATGTGCCACCAACGCCGGGCTAAAATGAATTTTTATTGAAATATATATACATAATTTATTTATAATGTATGTATTCCTATACCACATTATTTATTTTTAAAAATTTTTATTGAACAATGTACATACACTCAGTTATATATTTTTAGCAGAAATAGCAAGAATAGTTCAAATCTACAAACAAGAAAAAAGTGATGTATTTTTGTGGTGCTAAGGTTCGTTGATAAACATCTTACCTTTGTCTACCAGTGTTTCCCAACCAAGAGAAGCTACCAAGATGGCCAGGAGGTGAGAAAAGGTTGGGTTGATAGTCTGAAGTACCACTTTGCTTTTGCAAAATGTGGAATACATTTTTCTTTCTTTTTTTTCCCCAGTTTTTTTTGAGACAGGATCTCTCTGTGTAATGATAGCCTTGGCTGTCTCAGAACTCACTCTGTAGACCAGGCTGACCTGGAACTTTCAGAGATCTGCTGGCCTCTGCCTCTTAAGTGCAGGGATTAAAGGCATATGCCACTATGCCCAGCTAAAGTTTTTTTTCTTTAAGGAAAGTTTTCTTAGAGTACAGTTTGTTTTGTTATTACCTTGATGAATTGTCTATCTTTTTTGTGGTTCTAGGACTTGAACTTAGATTTTCTTATTCAGGGACTTGTGTTATTCCCAGCTGGTCTGTCTGTCTGTCTGTCTATCTATGTATCTTTGTATCTATCTTTTTTTCCTCTGTAGACCAGGCTGGCCTTAAACTTGGAGTTCTACCTGCCTTTGCCTCCTGACTGCTAGGATTAAATGTGTGTACCACCACCGCCCAGCCCCTTCGTTCCTTCCTTCATTCCTTCGTTCCTTTGTTCCTTCCATATTATTTCTAATCTACCTTCCTTATTTATTTATTTTTATTTTGTATATATGAGTATTTTGTTGACTTTTTTTTTGGGTTTTTTGAGACAGGGTTTCTCTGTATTGTTTTAGAGGCTGCCCTGGAACTCGCTCTGTAGACCAGGCTGGCCTCGAACTCACAGAGATCCGCCTGCCTCTGCCTCTGGAGTGCTGGGATTAAAGGTGTGTGCCACCAACGCCGGCTTTTGTTGACATTTTGTTCATTTATCATTTGCCTGTAATGCAGTACCCTCAGAAGCCAGAAGAGGGCTTTGGATTTCTTGAACTTCAACCACTGCCGTGTGGTTGCTGGGAATTGAACTAGGTTCTCTGGAAGCAGCCAGGACTTCTTAATGATTTTTCTCAAGATTTATTTTTATTATCTTAAATTATGTGCATGCATGTGTATTTGTGTGTGAGAGCATGTTTCCACAGGGGTAGTCAGAGGCATGGGAACTGGAGTGACAGGTAGTTGTGAGCTGCCTGATATGATGTGGTTGCTGGACACTGACCTTGTGTCCTCCGCAAGAGCAGTGTGAGCTCTTAGCCACTGAGCCTTCTCTCCAGGCCCCATTTTACCTGTTTTCACAGTCTGTGTGGTTTACAGGTCTTGATGCACTGGAGCTAGGCCCTGTGCTTGGGGACTTACAAGGTGCTTACTGGACTGTATCTTCACCTCTAGGCAGACTGGGTAGAATCTGCCCCCTTACTCAGGCCCCTGACAGAGTTTGTTTTCTTGTGAATGGTGTGCTTGAGGGATCTAGTAGTGTAACTAACTGTTGGGTGGAGGTCAGGAAGCTGCCTGCATGTCCCTGTGGCCCTGCCTTTAGGCAGTTCATAGCATGGCAATTTGCTTTTTTAAAGGAGATAAGCTTTGGGGGCTGGAGAGATGGCTCATTGGTTAGGAGCACCAACTGTTCTTCCAGAGGATCTGGGTTCAATTTCCAACAGCCATATGGTAGCTCACAGCTGCCTGTAACTCCAGTTCCAGGGGATCTGATACCCTCACACCAACGTACATAAAATAAAATAAAAAAAGGTGGAAGCAAGTCACAGTTGTTTGTTGTTAGGTGCAGGATATTACATAAGAAAGTAACTTTAGGGGTTGGAGAGGTGGCTCAGTGGTTGAGAGCACTGGCTGTTCTTCCAGAGGACCCAGGTTCAATTCTCAGAAGCCACATTGCAGCTCATAACTGTCTGTGACTTCACTTCCAGATATCTGACACTCTCACATGGACATGCGTGCAGGGAAAACACCAATGCACATGAAATTAAAAATAAAAAAGAAAGTAACTTTGGGGATGAAGATGTGGGGACCACCTTCATGCCACATCATCTGTCTGAATGAACTGATTTCAGGATTGAAGAAACTCTCTGTGGGACTCTACAAGTCTGTGTCTAGAAGACTTTAGATTTGAAGATGTTATGTGCCTAAATACACAGGAAAAAATGTTTTCTATTTGTTTTTATTGCAACAAACTCAACAAAGTTATAATTATTTCTTTCCCAAGACAGAAAAAAATACAAAAATAAACATTTTTAAGTTTGTTACTATCTAAAACATTTCTGGGGCTGGAGAGATGGCTCAGAGTTAAAAAGCATTGAATGCTCTTCTGGACAACCTGAGTTCAATTCCCAGGACCCAAAGGGTGACTAGCAACCATATTTAACTCTGGTTCTAGGGGATTTGACTCTCTCTACTAGCCTCTCAGGAGCCCAGGCACATATGTGGTGCACAGACATATAATGCAAGCAAAACATTCATATACATAAAATGAGTAAATAAAAATTTTTAAAATGAGAGTTACTTTTGTTATTTGTGTGTTTGTGTGCTGGTGAGGATCAAGTCAGGGTCCCCTGCTTGTTAAGCTGGTTCCCTACCACTGTTTTGCATCTGAAGTCCATCTGAAATTCTTTTCCCAGAGAGTGAAATAGAAATATTTGCATGCCTTTGGACTATATATGTATACATGCTTGTATGTGGAGATTGTGTATGTATTGCCCTCCCCTGCCCTCCCCACAGAAATGAAAACCTTTGCTGAGGTGGAGAGATGGCTCAGTGGTTAAGAGGACTTGTTCCTCTTGCAAAGAACCCAGGTTTGAGTCCCAGCCTACACTCGATACTCACCACTGTTTGAACTCCAGTCCCAAGGAATCTCACGCCCTCTCCTGACCTCCACTTGCACCAGTCACGCACATGGAGCACGTACATACACTCAAGCAAAACACGCCTATGCATAAAATAATCACGTTAGAAACAAAAGAAAACCAAATCCTTTGTTACATGTGTCAGTGATCCCTGGA